TATATCTTTGGGGTTTTTTCCTTTGGTCCTTAGGAGATGCTTAGAGATACGAAGAAGGAAAAGGGAGAGAAGGAAGGAGGAAGGAAGGGGAATAGAAAGGGGGAAACTGGGGCTGGAGCGGTAGCACAGCAGGTAGGGCATTTGCTTTGCGCGCGGCCAACCTGTCCCAGCATCCATATGGTCCCCTGAGCACCGCCAGGAGTGATGCCTGAGCACAGAGCCAGGAGTCAGCTCTGAGCATCTCCAGGTGTGGCCCCAAGCCCCAGCTCCAAAACGGGTGAGCCTAGCAGGTGCAAGTTCTCCGAGAAGCACAGAAGCGAAGGCGACCCAGATCGGGGCGTTGGTTTCCGACCTGGAGGTTCAAACTGAGTTCTGGGCACAGGCGCTGGCTCAGGGGTCCCGGGGAGCAAACCTGAGTTGGTCATGTGCAAGACAAGTTCCTCACCCAGCCCCTGGGGTCACACGGTTTGTGAGGACAGAGCTGAGCCCGTCCTGCCTCAGTGGTTCACTTCCAGAGTGGTTCACCTCCAAATAAGAGTGCAGACTCCAGCAGTGCTCGGGACAGCCTGCAGTGCCAGGGGCCAAACCTGGGCCCCCCACACGCAAGTCTGCGCCCCGCCAATACATTGAACTTTCTCCCCAGCCTTCGAGACCTTTTTCCCTTTAAATCAGATCTTTACCCAAGACCCCAACAGAGAAAACCAGGAAATGTGATTTTATTCTGAAGAAACTTCGGGAACCTTCTCTGGGAGTTCCTGAAGCCCCTCAAGACCTCTCCCAGAGTTGGGGGACCCCTGGTCTGCTCCGTCCTTTCTTTCTCCAAAGCATTCTGGGAGCTTGGCTTCCCGGAAATTTCCAGGGGAGCGAGATGGCAGCCCGCGGCTCTGGCTGAGACAGGCAGGGTTCGTTTTTCTGATGTCTCATCAACCCTCTGCAGTCAGCACACAGCCCTGGAGGTCTGCAGGCAGCGTGGATCCTGGGGGCAGCGGCATGTCTGTGTCCTCTCTGCGGCTGAGAAGCCACGGACGCTGTCTTGTACGGGAGGAGCGTGCGCTTCCCGCCTGGCTGTCCTGACCTTGTGCAGCCTGGCAGGCTGCCCGGAGGCGGTGACAATCAGCTGCCCTTCAGATGCTGGGCCCCACCCCCAGTCTGGGATCTGGGCTCAATCTGGGCTCACCTGACGGGGGGTTGTAGGAAGCAGAGGTCATCTGGTGTCCTGCTGTGGCCAGAATGGAGATGAGCAACCCGGGGAAGCTCGTCCCCGTGGGAATGGCTTGCTGGCTGGCCTCCGAGGGGCAGGGCTGCCCTGTGGACCAGAGCTCCCTCGCATCCCCAGGCCCATCAGCCCGCATCCCACTTCCACTTCTCTGTCAGTCTGGAGGTTTTTGTTGAGCTGGCCGCTATCCATGGCCACAGAGCCCAGGATTTTTAACATCCTCTCTCCGTCCTTCCTCCCTTTCTTTCTCCTGTCCTTCCTCCCTTCCTCCTTTCTCCTTCTCTCCTTCTCTCCCTCCCACTGTCTCTACCTCCCTCTTTTCCTTCCTTCCTTCCTCTCCTCTACCTCTCTCCCTTCCTCCCTTCCCTCCTTTCTTCCTCTTCTTCCCTCGTTTCTTTCTCCTCCCTCCTTCCTTCCCTCCCTCCTTTATTTTCCTTCCTTCCTTCCTTCCTTCCTTCCTTCCTTCCTTCCTTCCTTCCTCCTCTACTCTCTTTCTCTTTTTCTGTGTGTTTGGGGGGAGGGGCACACCTAGTGGTGCTCTAGGCACTGGATCCTGGATCTGTGCTCAGGGGTCACTCCTGGCAGGGCGTGGGGGACCCTTTACAGTGCTGAGGATCAAGCGCAGGCCACCCCACATGCAAGGCAAAGGCCCTCCCTGCTGCCCTCTGGCTTCTTCTGGGATTATCCTTGTCTGCTGTATTCCGCAGCCAACCAGGCACCCGCATGGGTCCGACGTGTCTTTTCATATTCATTTACTTCTTTCGGTCACATTGCCACTGTGCACTGGGGGTGGGTGAGGAGCATCAGCCAAGGGACGCGTTGGGAATGAGTCCAGCCCCAAGCTGGAGGGAATGGGCACAGAGCTGACCTAAGTGATGGGAACCCTTGGTCAACGGCTGGCCCAGGAAGGAGTAAGAAATGGGGGGGGGGGGGCTGAAGAGTGAGAGAGAGAGAGAGAGGAACTAGGTGAACGGCCAACCAGTCGCACGCAAGCTGTTCGTTATTCAGAGAGAACGAAATGCTACCTGGGCAATTGCCAACAGGCTTGGAAAGCAACAACCGTCGGGAAGCTTGGTTCCCAGCCCGGCCCCGGGGCCCCTCGCAGCATTCAGAGCAGACTTCTGCCCGCCCGGGGGAGTCGGGGGCCCCCAGGGCGGGGGAGCAGGAGTCCCCCTCTACCCTGTCTGGCTCTGAGAAGCAGCTGCCCCCACCTTCCCCACCCCCGGCTGGAGAGCGCAGCCCCTGGCACGCCCACCTTTGAGAGCAGCTCATGTGGAAGGCATCGCTAAGTAAACTCGCTAAATGCTTCTCCGGCCCCATCAGACGGGCGCCGGTGAAGCGGCAAATGTGAAAATGGCCCCAGCTCCTGTGCCCCAGAACTGGGCTTTCTGGAGTTGCCAAGGGGCTCTGCTGATCCTGCCTGGGACCCAGACTAGATGGGTGGGGGCAGGGAGAGAGAGAGGGAGAGGAAAGAGAAGGGGGGGCGCCCCTTTCCCTGCCCAGCCCGCCCCCTCAACCCTACTCCAAGTCCCTGCTTATTTTTCATTATTCCTGCCCCCGGGAACCCATTCGGAGGTTAACTTGCCCTGTGCTCTCAGGTCACCCTAACGCCCTGTCTCTGCGTCGTCACAGTGAGAGTTTGGTAAACTGCAACCTGGGGCTGGAGACGGAGCTGGCCTCTCTGTGCTGCATTTGTTCCGTGGCCGACCAGGGGGCCAGCTCTCCTGGAAGTGCCCCCCACTCCCTGCATCCACGTGCTGACCACCTGGGGGGCAGGCAGGAGAGGATGTGCCCCGCGGGGTGCCCGCACAGCGCAGACATGTGGGGTTCAGCCTCTTAGCAGCACCCGTGGCTTCACAGTGCATTTCTGTGTTCTCGGCACACGTTGGCGGCATTGGCGGGTGTTTCCCTTCTGGGCGGGCCCCCCCTTCAGCATCTTTTCCTCAGCTCAGTGCCCGGCTCTGCTGGAATTAGGATCCCTCCATCCCCAAACAGGGCTGCGGAGTGGCGGGATGCGTCTCGGGAACTGAAGGGCACCGGGGTGCAGAGTGATGGAAGGAGGCGTGGGGAGTGGGGTGTCGGCGGACACTTGTTGAGCACCGACAGGGCGGGCTTCCCCCGGGACTCCTCAGCACCCATGTGTGGAGAGTCGGCTGAGACAGCCAGGGCCTGGCCGTTCCTAGGCTGGACACTTGGATCTGAAACGAAGCCCGGAACCCAACCCCAGGTGGTCCTGCTTCTAGACCTCGGGCCCGCACTTCACTTTCCACACACACACACACACACACACACACTCACACACATAACAAACATACACACACTACTCACTCGCACACACACTGACACACACTCTCACACTCACTCTCTCTCTTACACACACACACACACACACACACCCCTATGGTAACCCATGTCCACTCTCCTGCTGAGTGAGACCCACCCCCAGCCCCAGCCAGGACACAGGAGCTGTCCCTTCAGCACCATGTACCTGTCTGGCTTGGCTCCACGGCTCGGGCGGATGGGGACCGTGTGTCTGCCTTTCAGGATGCTGTCACAGGTGCACGCACGTGCTGGTTAGCTGTGATGCTGAGATTGATGACGATAAATTTGGGATAAAAAGCCGGGACACTGTCCTCCACGGGGAGCGCACACCCGAGATCTCAGAGCCCATGCCGCGCCTCCTGGCCACCCGCAGCCTTCCCTGAGTCGCTCCTCCTTCAGAATGTACCGGACAGTCCAGAGAGATAGCACAGTGGGCAGGGGGCTTGCCTTGCACACTGCAGCCACAGGCACCCAGGACACGTTGGTCCCCGCCAGGAGTGACCTGAGAAGGAAGCCCCAAGCACTTCCGGGTGTGGCAGAGAGAGAGAGAGAGAGAGAGAGAGAGAGAGAGAGAGAGAGAGAGAGAGAGAGAGAGAGAGAGAGCGCTTTTGAATAGATGTTGTACACAGCAGGGGAATGAAGAGCCGGACTCTGAGCCACACCGTGCCAGGTCCTGGGGGAAGTTCCCTCTACACGTCCGATTTCCATCATCTGAAAAACAGGAAGGGCCAGTCTGAGACCAGCTTCAGGGGGCTGAGTGAGAATTGAGTGAGCGAGGGGACAGATCAGCTGTTGGACATCTGAGTGTTGCTGATGGAGAAAAATCTTGCCTCGAGAGATAGCACAGTGGGGAGGGCGTTTGCCTTGCACGTGGCTAACCCAGGTTCGATCCTCAGCATCCTATATAGTCCCCCAAGCACCACCAGCGGTGACCCCTGAGTGCAGAGCCAGGAGTAAGTCCTAAGCATCGCCCGGTATGACCCTCCAGACAAAAATGAAAAAATGCCCTACCCACTGTGCTGTCACTCCAGCCCAAGCCCGTGTATCTTGTAGCCCAAGAGCGGTGAGAGGGGGATGCTGTCCGGTTTCCAGGACAGAGAAGGGAGAAGCAAACCCTAAGACTCGGGGTCGGGCTCCTCACTCGGGGTCTGGGGCGCGTGTCTGCCTGCTCAAGGAGTCAAGTTGGATCTCCCCACTCATGCCAGCCCGCAAACACACTGGGGGCCCCCGCGCCACCAGCCAGGGCACTGACTTATCCAGTCTGGTTGTCTGAGTATCGCCACATGGGGCTCCTTGGACCCTGAGCACCTGTCCAGGACACCCCCTCCCACTCCCGAGACACACACACACACACACACACACACACACACACACACACACACAGAGCATCCCTCCCCTGACAAAAGGCTCCAAGTGTCCAGCCTTGGGGGAGCCTGACTTTCCTCCCGGTTTGTTCATGCAGGACCAATGACCAGCTGGTGGCCTTCCTGTCCCGATACCGAGACATGAATTTCCTGAAGTCGCACGGCCGGGACAACGCCAGGTAAAGGCGGCTTCCCTCGGGGCTTGCGCAGAGCGGAAGTGGGTGGGTCGGGGGACTGGGGAGGGCTGCCTTCCCGACCGGGGAGTGCACACACACAGCGGCCTGAAGGAACTGGGGGAGCCTGAGCACAGCCTGCAGCTCCCCGTTTTTGGCCCAGAGCAGAGGTGTCGGTGCCTGTGTCCCCTCTGCACTCAAGCATCACGTTGGCGAGGGCCTTCGGGGAAGGAGCGAAGCCCCTTGCTGATCCCCCGTTTTTGTAACGAGGCACCAGAAGCCCAGGCTCTAAGGGCACACCCAGATTATATGACACTCGCCATCACAGGTGTGCTTGGGTGCCAGCCTTTGCCAGCCCGGAACACCGAGATCCTTGTTTCCAGGGAATCTGCTTCCTTAGTGGGCAAGTGTGCCACCAGCACGGGAGGAATTCCAGGGTTCTGGCTCCCAACCTGGGATCCCCAGTCCCCTCACTCCCACGCCCCATCTCATGCTCATTGCTCTAGTCGTGTGCAGGGTGACTGAGGAACCCCCAACCCAACAGAGCTCTTCCTGCCTCTCCCCTTGGGAAGGAGCAAGGCGGAGCACCCCTGCCATCTTGCTTTGCACCAAGTCCTCATCCTCCTGGCCTGCAAGGGCCACCACCTGGAGCGCCCCCTGTAGGAGCGATCGCAGCATCACCACCTAACACCCCCCAGCCCAGCGGCCCCACCCACCAACCCCCACTCCTGCAGCTCAGAACCACAATCTTCCAGCCAATGAGACTCTTTCAGCTAGTTAAGGGTTTTGTTGCTGCTTGTGGTGTTGGTTGTTGTTTTTTTCTTCTTCTGGTTTTGTTCATCCTGATGCCTCATTTGAAAGTGAATAGCCCCTTCCAAGTGCGGGTGCTATTTCCCACGGAAAGTCAGATTCCCATCCAAAGGCTTGGTACTTCCTGGCCCTGCTGGAACAGAACCAAAGCGCCACCAGACCCTCCTCATCCTCGTCCATCCCCTATCTTGTACACCCCCACCATGCCCCCCCCGCATTTTGATTTGCCCATGGGCGCCCTCTGCATTTGGGTCTCTGACTCAGTTTACCCCAGAGGGAGGGACCCAAGCCAGCAGTGGGATCCCTTGACAGAACTTCAAGAAGTCACCGCACAGTGTTACCTTGGACCTGGGGTTCCACCCTGCTGGCCAGCCCACCCTCCTCAGCCCCCGTTCTTCCCATCAAAACTGAGCAACCAGGGGCTGGAGCGATAGCACAGTGGGGAGGGCATTTGTCTTGCACGCGGCCGATCCGGGTTCGATTCCCAGCATCCCATACAGTCCCCCGAGCACTGCCAGGAGTAACCCCTAAGCATTTCCTGGTGTGACTAAAAAAAAAAAAAACTGAGCACCCAGGGCAGCTGGTGCTTTGCAGCCTGGCACTGGGGCAAGGGAGAAATTGAGGCTCGGGTGTGGAATTCCTGCTCCGAATTCCACCCATTCTGGGCACAGTCTCAGCCTCTAAGCGCATTTATGCAAAACCCCATGAATGCAAAAACATTCCTCCCCCAACTGTGAGGAGGAGGGGTAGCGTCTGTCTGGGGCAGCCGAATTGCTTTTCCCTTGGTCACCTGCCAGGTGAGTGTTGGACCCAGAACCCAGGGGAGTGAGGCAGAGTGGGACCTGGAATAGCCTAGATGTTGGCGTATCTGCCCAGAGGTAGAGAATGAGGTGTGCCTTCCCGCCAGCTGGTGTGGTAGTAGCCTGCATCCTAAATGAGCCCGTACAACTGTATCAAGTAGTTCAGACCCCCAAACCCAGACACTGTTAGCCTGTTTTGGGGGGTGGGGAAGGCCATCTGTCTTTTTTCCTGGAGTTACAGTAAGATCAGAGTCATAGCCAGGCAGTTTGTGGGCAACAAGCATCTTTTCTCTTTCTGAACTGACTTTGGGCGTCCTGTGGGGATCGGAGGCGTCCAGGAGAGTTGGGAAAGAGCTGGCCACAAAGAGGGGGAGCTCCGCCCCTCCCCCAGGCACGGCAGCCTGTGTTTCTTGCTAGGCCTCCAGTTTGGCTGAGACGTCTTGGCGGCTTTGCTGCCCAGTCCCAAGACTGAACTGCTTTTATCATCACACATCAGTGCCTCTGCCGCCCACACCGCACTATGACTTCCCCCAAACTCACTTCTCCTTTTGTTTTCTTCTGTGTTGCTCCATCCGTGACCCCATGAGAGTGAGAGTCGGTGAGGGGAAGCCCCTGGCTGGAGCCACCTGACTCGGGGCAGAGTTCAGACTCAGGGGGAAATTGAGTCCCCAGGGCCCAGCCTGGCAAAGACTCTCCAGTTCCACTTCCCCCACCCCAGCTGAGAGGGGGTCTTGCAGGCCCTGTGGGATTCATGGCCTCTCTTTGAAAAGCCAGAGTGGGATTTACTAAACTCCCCCCATCCCTACCCAACCACCACCACCACAGCACGCACGCACACATGCTCAGATGTTTCCGGCAGGATCCAGAAGGATCAACCATTGCAAGGGAGGCTGGGGCCGAGACCAAGCCGGAGAGAGGCCCGAGCAAGCAGGGAGATGTAAGCTAGGCCACAAGGACGCTAAGGTGTGATGCCACATGGCTCCTGATGGCAGGACCACCTCAGTCTCCCACTTTCGCCAGCCCCTTTGGGCCTCCAGTGCCCTCTGTGAAGAGAAGAGTCGGCAGCAGAGAGGCAGAGGAGGGCTCTGGCCTCTGCTGTCCTGGAATGAGGGGCTGCAGGGAAGGGGGTGCCGTTGGCCCTTTCTCCTTGCTGTCCTCCAGAAGCCAGGCAAGCGGGCAAGCAGGAAAGATGTTTCCTCCATGACCGTTTTCCCAGGCCCAAGCAAGCCTCCCCGAATGTCCATGTGCCCTGGACCTGGATCTGGACATCGGGGTCTTCTCTAGCACCCAGCCTCAGCAGCTCCCCGGAGGGGGGCGGGCATCTGGGAGAACGGCCCACCCATCTCTGCAGCTTGTGGGTAGAGAGTCGCCCCTCCACCGTCAGGGAAAGGGGAGAGTGTCCCACTCAGCAGGAAGAGAGTTTCCTGGGGTGGGGGGGGTCTTTGGCACTCGGCTGGTCTGAGTTCTTCGCCTGTCTCAGAAGATCAGGCCACCAGGCTTTGCCCCAGACCATGGACAGTGACAAGTCCAACGAACTCGGCCACAGGGCATCCTTGGGGCCTCAGCAAGCCTGTCTGGCTCCTGATCTTGATAAAACTCTGTCCCAGTGGGAGTGGGGAACCCCAGCACAGAAGCACCTGTCTAATCTCAACCCCCCACCTGGGAAGGTGTTACCCCGTCTGAGAGATGAGCACCCCCGAGTCCAGGAGGGGGGCTGGGTCGGCCCAGCAGGGCTGGGAACCTGCTCGGACCCACCTTCGAAGGCCTGAGCTCTTTCCTCACACCCAGGATGAGTGAATGACCCTAAGAGAAGCTGAGTTGTGCATCCCAGGCATAGGTGGAGCCAGGAGTCTGTTCTGCTGACCCTCCGTGGGTTTCGAAATAAGAGCGAAAGCAGGCAGGCCGGCCCTACACTCGAGAATCTGTGTTTCCCTCCCCCCCCCCCCCCAGTGGGTCCGTGATCCACCCATGACCTGCCGGGTGAGTTTGAGAAGCTGGTGAGAGAACATTGATCGGGAATGTATCCCTGCTAGCAGCCTGTTGAACCCCGGGTTTGATGTAGTTATATTTAGAATAAGATAATGATCTTATTTTACAGTCCTGGCTATTCCAAGTTGGTGGGGAGAGAGGGAGAGAGAGAGAGAGACAGAGAGAGAGAGAGAGAGAGAGAGAGACAGACAGACAGACAGACAGACAGACAGACAGAGAGCACTTTTTGAATAGATGTTGTACACAGCAGGGGAATGAAGAGCCGGACTCTGAGCCACACCGTGCCAGGTCCTGGGGGAAGTTCCCTCTACACGTCCGATTTCCATCATCTGAAAAACAGGAAGGGCCAGTCTGAGACCAGCTTCAGGGGGCTGAGTGAGAACTGAGTGAGCGAGGGGACAGATCAGCTATTGGACATCTGAGTGTTGCTGATGGAGAAAAATCTTGCCTCGAGAGATAGCACAGTGGGGAGGGCGTTTGCCTTGCACGTGGCTAACCCAGGTTCGATCCTCAGCATCCTATATAGTCCCCCGAGCACCGCCAGCAGTGACCCCTGAGTGCAGAGCCAGGAGTAAGTCCTAAGCATCGCCCGGTATGACCCTCCAGACAAAAACGAAAAAAGTAAAACAAGAAAAATCTTGCTGAGGATGGCATATAAATGATCACCCCCGTAGACACACATTCCATGCCCCTGGAAGAACAGCTGACTTCCGAAAGGCAAGAAGGCTGGACCGAAAGCAAGCTAGAGGGGGGGGCCGTTCCCCAGAGATGAGTGGTCTTCGCCAGTCTCTCCTTGTCCCAGATTGGGGCCCCTGGTCCGCTGTGTCTTTGCTGGAGGCGTGGAGGGCCCAGGGCGTATCAGCGTGACAACCTCACATCCCCCCTCCCCCTGCTGACATTGAACTTATCTCCCAGCCCAGACCTCCCCCGGTGTGTAAACAGGCAACTGTTTAACTGAAAGTTGGCAAATCTGTCGAGAGCCCCGCCAGGAACCTCCTCCAGGCAGACCGGCTCTCTGGAGGCCCTTTGGTGCCAACTCGCTGATCAAGAAAAGGCCTCCGTCTCCGGCTGCCTCGTCGCGCCATGATTGATGCGAGCGGATAATTAATATCCCCTCTCCAGCGGGGAGAGCAGATTGCGTGCCCCTTCACGTTCCGTTAGAGCCCAGCCTGAGCCTGCCTTGTCTCATCCCACAGTGGCAGCCGTGTCAAATGACCGCTTAGCAGCTTGTGGCCCCCCACCCCCACCCAGAGGAGTCTGCACCCCCACTCTTGGCCTCCACATGCGTGTCAAGGTCTGCCTTGGGGCTTGGCTTCCCTCTAAATGATTCCTGTAGAAGCCGGGAAGCTGGACCAAAGATGAGGAAGGGAGAGAAAGTCCCTGTGTCATCTCTGAAAAATGGAGTGT